CTGTAATCATTCTTATGTAAATAAAATAATTCTGACTCTGATGTTAATTTTCTTTAAAAAATTAAAAAAAAAAAAAATAAAAAAAAAAAGGAAAAAAAAAAGGAAAAACATGTCATGATAAAAGATCTCTGATTTTGTTAAATTGGCTTGTGTAATACATATATTAAAAATAACATCAATATAAAAATTGATTTCCATAAATGTGTTGAACAAATTACTTACATCTGCATAATTTATAGCAGTTTTCTCCTCATTTGTTTGAGCTGAAACAGATAAACATTAACATTTTTAGTTTTAAAATGTTCCATACTTGTATTGCTTATTGACACAGAATACGCAAAGTGGTTAAAAATATTCATTCTTAATTTAAATGCAAAAAGAATGTATGTAAATTAATCAATTTGCATATTAAACTGTTAACCTCTTGAGTCAGCATTATAAATATAAGAAGTAAATAGATTAAATATATAAATCATATTATAGGTTAAATTATACAATAGGTTAAGTATATAAATTATATTATAAAATAATGATTATAAAATATCATAATTGTAATTATAAATTATAAAATAACAATATGAATCACACAGAACTAATATTATTTTGCTATTAATAAACATTATTGTTGCTACTTGTACATTACGGCATTATTTTTAAGTGATTTCAAATATATTATGAGATTATATTTGAGAATATATTATTACTGTCTTTTCCTACAATTGTCACAAGAGCGTGTAGTGACGAGAATTGTCGCGTTAAGATTATGCGATTAATATAAAAATATAGATGCACATTTGACATGAGAAAACAAGGTGAGAAATATATCTTACCCATACTTCTTCTTCTTTTGATTAATGTTTATAAAGCAACTGTTAGATTGAGATGGAACACGTTCTGAATCTTTGTTAATTATATAGAATTATAGGGTTACATACAAATTTTCAAAGTGTTGAGTACGAGAACAAAGTGTATATTCTTTTTTTCGTTATCAGATAGGAAGGGCAAACAAACGACAAACAAAAGAAGTGACATACGTTACAAACGTCAGACATACACGAATTGACTCGCGAACCTCTTTGAGAGATCAGATGCGATCTTCTTCTTCTTCTATTTTTATTGGCACTTGGAGGGGCAGACCCTACCATTCGGCCATATTTGTTTCGAGGAGGGGAGAATACTAAATGCGTGTTCGTTTCACAAGAGCGGGAGAGTGCTAATAATTATGTGTAAAATGTAAGGTTAGTGTATATGTGTGTGTATGACCGCAGTGTGTGAGCTCAGCTCCATGGGTTTGCTAAGCCCAAATGGCTGCGCGGTTCAACCATCAGATGCGATGAGTATGAGCAGAGAGAAGCCTGAGAGACGCCACGGCCAGGTTTTACGTGATCCGCGAAAGCGATACGCCATCTGTGGACCTAAAATCTGCACATTGGAACTACGTAGCCATGTGCACAATTTTTGGTTTCGTTCCGTGCTATGTCCACGAAGGATCGATAATACAGAGTAATGTGCACATTGATGTATAATATACATGTATAATATACATTAATGTGCACATTACTCTATATTATCGATCCTTCGTGGACATAGCACGGAATGAAACCAAAAATTGTGCACATGGCTACGTAGTTCTAATGTTCAGATTTTAGGTCCACAGGTGGCGTATCGCTTTCGCGGATCACGTAAAACCTAGCCGTGGCGTCTCTCAGGCTTCTCTGGTAATAATAATATGATAAATATTAAATATAGAAATTATAGAGTTTGTCTTCGCAAGTATAGAATTTGTATTATTAGAGCTAAAAATAGATCGTGGAACGAGTTGATCAATAACCTAAATGATAACCCTTGGGGCCTTCCTTACAAGATTGTTCTTAAAAAGTTAAAACCTACTTTTCATTCAGTTTGCGAGACACTTCCTCATTCTACGATAGTGGATATTATTGATGTCCTTTTTCCAGAGGACTATAATGAGCATAGCTTTATTGATTATTATTCTCATTTTGTTTGGCATGGAGATCTTTCCATCAGTGTAGCAGAATTGCGCCTTTAAGAAGTTACATGGCAAAGAAAGGCCCCCGGTCCGGATGGAAGTTCTGGGGGGGGGGGGTTAGTCGCGGGTAGCGCGGGATCTCTCATGGAGATCTAGCGGGCATGCTTTGATTCGTGTCTCAGAGAGAGTATCTTTCCTACAGTCTGGAAGACTGCGAAACTTGTATTACTTAAAAAGAAGGAGGGGGATTCTTTTGACCCTAGAATCTATAGGCCAATTTGCCTTCTTAATGAGTCTTCCAAGTTGTTCAAGAGAATTATTGTCTCGAGAATAAATGATCATTTGGAGCTGTCTGGATTCCTCTCTGAGAATCAATTCGGTTTTAGAAGGGGGCGGTCGACCATAGACGCAATTTTGACACTTAGACGTATGGTCTCTGTCAAAAGAGAGGAGGATAGGTTGTCATTGCAGTAGCTTTTGATATCAAAAATGCTTTTAATACACTGCCTTGGAGCGTTATTCACTCGGCCATGATCTCCATGGAGTTCCCGAGCTACCTATGTAGGATTGTTTCCGAATACCTATCTAACAGAAGTTTAGTTTACACCGACTCGGAGGGTGTCACACGAGCGCGAGGTGTGTATCGTGGTGTTCCACAGGGTTCAGTCCTTGGACCGACTCTGTGGAATATCGGATACAACAGGGTACTTAGCCTCACACTTCCGTTGGGCTTTTTTTTTAATTGAGTACGCGGATGACACTATTTTAGTTGTTTTCGGAGAAAACATCGATGAGACATCTCACCTTGCGATGATGACTGCTTGCACGGTAGTGAAAGAGATCGAGAGGCTTGGCTTCGAAATCTCACCACAGAAAACGGAGGCTATAATTTTTCCGGCCTCTGCGATTGGGCATGGTTCCTACAATTTGATAATAAAAAACAAGGAGGTTCCTATAACCTCAACATTGAAATATCTTGGCATTATCTTAGATAGTGATTGGAAATTTACTCAACATTTTGAGAAGCTATATTTAAAGGTAAATAAAATTATAAGTTATCTCAGGGAAATTATGCCCAATTGCAGAGGACCTAATAAAAAGAAGAGGAAATTGTACTTACATGTAGTTCTCTCCATGATCCTCTATGGAGCTCCCGTGTGGTCGGTCTCTTTTGAAGAGAATCGAAGAGCGAAGACTTTAATGGTCAGGCTTATGAGAAGGATCACCCAAAGGGTCTGTTGCGCATACCGAACGGTATCCTTCGTCGCGGCGTCGATCATCCCGGGGACTCCCCCGTTAGAGTTCCAGGCGCGTAGGTTAGCGGCTCTTTACTTTAAGACTAGATCCGCCATAAACGATGAAGAAGAAAACTCTCCCAGTACTATAGTGAAATGGAAAATTGAAGCGAAAAAACAGGCCCTACTTGACTAGAGGGGGTGTCTAATGGACATGAATGATAGTCACCCTAGCTTTAGACTGCGCGATGCTTTAGTTGACAAATTGAATGAATGGTTAAATAGAAACCACGGCTGGGTCACATATCACATGACCCAATTCCTAACGGGTCACGGATGCTTTAATGAGTTTTTGTATAAAATTAAGAAAGTAGATTCTCCATTTTGTTATTTTTGTTGCATCGAGATTGATACCGCACAACACACCCTCCAGTTTTGTGGTTCTTGGGATTCCGAAAGGAGCGATCTGACACGGATTATTGGAGATAAACTCGATCTTCTCTCTGTTGTTACTTCGATTCTAGATAATGTAGACAAATCGAGGGCCTTCTCGACCTTTTGTTCTAAGGTATTGACCTGCAAAGAAGCGGCCGAAAGGGCGAGATAGGTTGCGAGCAGAAATCAGGTGATTGGACACATTGATTCCGAAGTCTCCGAATAAGACTGATCATAAAATTTATAACGATTGCGTATACTTTATATATATATAAAAATAGATTAGATTTGATTATATTATAGTTGAATAATATTATATATTATACTATACTTGTAAAGAGCAACTCAGGCATTTTGTTATGCTTATATGTGTATAAGCATATGGATGCTGGTGTTGTGCTTCTCAGTAGTTATCCTTTTTTCTATTAAGCGATATTATTCTTATATTTTGTTGGTCTTGGCTATGCTACCTTTTTATAGTAGCCTTTTATAATGTAGTTTATTCTTCTTAGTATTTTCCCGTTTTTCTTTGTCTAGAGCCCTTTTGAGGGCAATCCTGAGAGAGAGACAGAGATATGCTCTAGTCAGTAAGCCTGTCTCTCTCTCACGTTAGGGCCTGAAAGGCATGAGGTGAGTTTTTAGCTGGTAGGCGGTCGAGATGTGTTATCGGGTTCTCTCATGGTTGATGGTTCGTCTTCTCTTTTGTCCTTCCTAGGAATCGGACACTCTTTGCCCGCATGAGTTGTCGGATCCGGTCAGGCCGGAGAGATGTTCCTTATCGGTTATGATGAGATTGTCCTGATACAAGTCTCGGTCGAATCCAGCACTACCCTGGTCCGGAACAGGGTGTCTTTCGAAGATTTTCTCATCTTGGAACAAAAAAAAAAGAAAAAAACTATCTACAAAAAGTCTTAAATCAGACAACCCAAAATAAGGCTTCCCCTCGGGGAAGCCCCACCCACGTGAGCATCATGCCTCGTTCTCGATCCCGTTCACGTTTCCGAATCAAAGGCAATAAAGGTAACCTTGACAAAGGCAATGGAGTGAGCAAAAACACGAATCTTATTATCCCTAGTTCTAGCGATTCTGATTCTGATATGAATGTCGATAATCAGTTAATCTCCTTTTCTAAGAAATTATATCCGTCCATAGACAATGATAACGATCCTAAGAGAATTTCGGAAATCATTGGCATTAATACTATTATGTCTGACCCAAACAATGAATCACCCCCTATTGGCTCTTCGATCCCTTCGAGGCAGAAAAGATCTGCCGACGATGAGGGCTTTATTAATATCAATTCCAAAAAGACAAATAATAATAAAGACAATAACAATTCCATCTTAAATACTCAAATTAGCCGTCCAAACGAATCAATAAGTTCTCTTGACAAACTAATAAGCAATAGATATGCTCATAACAATCAGGGACCGTATTACGTATACATACAATCTTCCTCTTCTCCCCTCTCACCTATTCACCCTTTGTTCATAGGTCGATTCCTCAATAAACATGGTAAAAAAGAAACCATTGAGGTAAAAAAATTGGGATTCTCGAAAATTTCTGTCAAGTATCGCACAAAAGAAGCGGCCAATCTTTTGGTCTCCCAACAACCGCTTAAGGACCGCAACATGACTTGCTTTATTCCAAATTATAGAATATTTCGACAAGGCATTATTCGCAACATTCCTACTGATATAGAACCTGACGAAATTAAACTAGGAATTGAGTGTCCCACTGAGGTCATGACCGTGAGAAGACTCAACAGAAAAATCACTGTAGAGGATGACACAGGCACTAAAACCTCTCAATTCGTCCCCTCTAAATCCATTGTAATTTCCTTTCTAAACCAAATACTTCCCAAATTTATTAATATTTTTAGTGTTAGATATGAAGTAGTCCTTTTTATTCCAAAAACTACTATATGTTTTTCTTGTTTTAGATTCGGTCACTCAGCCGCACAATGTAGAGGCAAACCTCGATGTCCTCACTGTGGATGCTCTGACCATGAATTATCCCCTCCTTGTCCACACATCGCTTCATCCCCCAATTGCGCTAACTGTAAAGGAAAACACTCCCCCTTAGATCCTCAATGCCCAGAATATAATATTCAAAAAAACGTTCAGCTTCTCGCGGCTGAGAGAAATATTCCACTTAAGGAAGCCAGAGATATCCTTTCCGGGAAAAACTCATTCTCCAATATGGAGAATGATATCTTCAATTTCCCCCCCCTTATGAAAAGTTCTTCCCCAGAATCCAATATTTTCTCTCAGGGACTCTCTCCTTCTCTTGCCATCGCCCCCTATCAACTACACTTCCCCACCTAATCAGAGGAGCGTAACTTACGCCCAAATGGCTAGTAGATCTGGCATAAAATCTACCAATTACAAAAATCTTAGTTCTAAACCGTCCTCCTCTACCTTTAACAAGGAAACATCTACCCTTAAATCCCCTCCTGTCCGTTATTATGATGGACGTGGCTCTGGTCACGACTATATTCTCGAGCCTAACGGTAGGCCCCTTCTCATACCTCCGAATGGGTGCGCTTATCCCTCAGGGAGTCCCGATTCCCCTCATTCTTCACCCACCTCTTTTGGTTCTTATGAGAATCAAATGAAGTTTATCTTCCAACTTTTTACGCAGTTAATTGCTGCATTCAGTCAAATCAACCCATCGTTTTCAAATTTAGCAAATGATAGATCTTCCTCAATTTTTCCGCCACTTAATCAAAATTCTTCCTCAGCTAATACTTATTATTCTCACAATGTATAAGCTTTTTCAACGTCCTAACATCAATATCTTACAATGGAACTCCAGAGGTCTTCTTTCTAAGAAGGGAGAACTTTTAAAAATCATCAAAGATTATGACGTAATCGTGATCTCCGAACCTTGGTTAATTTCAAGTACTCACTTCTCAATTCCAGGCTATACTATCTTTCGTATAGATCTCAAAGAGATTCGTTACGCATAAAATCCAGTGGTCTGTGTACCATTGTCAGGAATGATATTCATTCAGCTATCGATGCTGTCATTAATTGCATAGAAGGTTCACTTGACACCCTAGGCGTAAAACTGTCCACCTCTCAAGGACAATTACTAATTGCATCAATTTATAAACACACAGAATTTCGCATAAAATATGAACATTGGGATAAGTTATTTTCTACCTTTGTTAATTTCAAAAATGTTGTTGTATTGGGTGACTTCAATTCGCACCATCCTTCCTGGGGATGTTCGATTATTGACTCGGCTGGCAGATCGTTGGAAGAAGCCGCTTCAGATCACGACTTGGTAATTCTAAACAACGGTTCACCAACTAGACTTACAGCCCCCTCTCAAAATAAGAGCGCTGTAGATCTTACTCTAATTAATCCTGATCTTGCACCTATCTGTTCTTGGCAGGTACTGGATGATTCTATGAATAGTGATCACTTTCCTGTCGTGACCACCATACTCACTACCGTTCAATATTCAAAAAGATTCTGTCACAAAATAGATAAAAAATCTACTAACTGGCTAACTTTTAAAAAATTCTTCATTCTTCAAGAAGAAGAAATTTCCTCAAGAATTCTAGATCCTCACATCAATCCTTCTGATCATATAGAATATCTCACTTCGCTTTTTATTTCAGCTATCGAATCTGCAAATGGCCATCCTCTTCGTTCAAACTCTGATTCCCTTTCAGTCCATCACTCATCTAAGGGACCTCCTCCGGCCCCGTGGTGGAATCACGACTGTGACTCTGCAGCAATAGAAAGGAAATTGGCTCTGTCTAACTTCAGGAAAGTCTCTTCTTATTTGAACTACTGTCATCTTAAAAGACAAGAGGCCCTGGCCAAGAGGGTATTTCATAAAGCCAAGAGAGAATCATGGAGGAAATTCTGTAGTGAGATTGAGTTTAAAACTGCCCCTGGAAAAATTTGGAGAACCATCAAATGCTTTAAAAACAAAAATTTAGTCGGTGTTCACAATAACTTCAACACAAATCATAAAATAGAAGAATTCAATAGTACTATTCATACTCTCTGTTCAGACTCTTGTCCCCCTTTCATCTCATTTGAGAATTCCGAACTCTCTCCGGATGAATCTTTATTCTCTCGATCTATATCCGTCAATGAGATATCCGACGTCATTGCCAGACTTGGTGTTCGATCGTCTCCGGGATTGGATGGCATTAGCTATCGAATGATTCAAAATCTCCCTATATTTATGCATAAACTTATTTGTCACCTATTCAACAGTATTCTGACCACAGGAACCTATCCCAATGAATGGAGGAAAACTTTAGTGTACTTAATTCCCAAATCCACTCCGGGTAAATTCCGACCTATTTTGCTAACACCTTGCCTGCTTAAAATCTTAGAAAAAATAATCTCTTCTAGACTTCAATGGTTTTGCGAGCATAATAATATTATCTCTAAATCTCAATTTGGTTTCAGGAAAGGTAAATCATGCTATGATAACCTGGCTCTACTTTCTACAGAAATTTGCCTTGGACTTGCATATGGACAATATACTCCTTGTCTTTTCTTGGACATTAAAGGGGCTTTTGACAACCTCATTCCTGACATTCTACTTCATACTTTGAGAAACATCGTGATCCCAGAGAGACTATGCAGATTCATTTTTCACCTTATCTCTTTTCGCATCCTCCATTTTATTATTAATGGTGAATTATCACAGCCTTATCATACCTATAAAGGTGTGCCACAGGGGTCTGTATTGAGTCCTATTCTGTTTAACATATATATTAATGCTTTA